GGGGGCGGGGCCTCACTCTCTCTCTCTGTGTGCGGGGGCGGGGCCTAACAGACACGCTGCCGCGGCGTGCAGACACATTTTTAAGAGTAGTAGTACCGTTAAAAACCTTAACGATACTCCATCCCTAGATATTACACACGTGTTAAGAGAGTGAAATGTTGCTTTACGAATTTCAACACTTGAGGCGGTCACATTGATTCCAATTTCAGATTCCTGTATTTGCCAAACTGAATTTGTTTAAAGAGAGAAAACATTTTGACTCAAATGTAATGATTTTTCATCTAATAAAACGTTTTGAGTTTTCGTCGACTAAAACTAGATTAACACTATGAAGGATAGAAAGGACTAAAATGTGATTAAAACTAATAACCATTTTCGTCTTAAGACTAAATCAAAAATAGCTGCCGAAATGAATACTGCTCTATATCTCCGAAGCCTGCCCCAAATTGAAAAAGGTGCTTAAAGAGGCCGTGTGATGCTTTTTTGGGTGCTGTGTTGGCGAGTAGTATCTAACGGTGTTGTAATTTAGAACAGAGCTAACAGTGATAGTCTGGGGAGGGCTCTCAAAAACCAAGAGAGAAATCAAATAAAACATTTGAACCAAAGAAGTTGGTGGAAAAAACATAACAAAATGTCTCCTTTCCTAATTGGAAACATAGACAGTGTAGACGTTTCACTACATGGTAAAAACTTTCTAAATATAGATATAAAAAGATATTGTAATTCCTTCTCAAACTAGGGTATGCTGACCACCTTCTGCTTTAGGTAAAACATGGACGATGGATAAGTGCCTCATGAAACCCCACCTGCTTTATCAAGTTTGTTTAGAGGAGCTGAGGAATGCATGACACAAAAAGCAAAACATGCTGCTACTTTACTTCCTCATAGATGTTACAATCACAATGGGGCTTGATCAGCAAGTGTTGACAGTGACAGTGTGACCTGGATCCGTGGGTCTTACCCAGCAGTGGCAGCAGCACGGGGTAATTATAGGGCATCACAAACAGGTTGACACAGTTCAGAGCCGTGCTGGCCTTCAAGTATCCGCAGGGTTGGCCCAGGTCACTGTACTTGGCACTGTTACACACAAACACCTAGAATACACAAGAGAAAATCATTTCAATGTGGAAACATTGTTTGTTATTGAAATGCTCTACTTTCTGGTCCCTGCTTCATGTGCAATATACCCTCGTGCAATTCACGTTTAATTTGTTCTCTTATGCAAGCTATTTGCTTTTTTACTTATTGTTTTTTTGTTAATAATAAGAAGATTGAAGATTCAACTTATTGTCATTACGTAGTACAGGTCCTATGTAACAAAACGGTTTCTCTGCATTTGACCCATCCTCGTGTTAGGAGCAGTGGGCTGCCATTATGCACGGCGCCCGGGGAGCAGTGTAGGGAACGGTGCCTTGCTCAGGGACACCTCGGTAGCACTTGGTCTTTCCGGGACTTGAACTGGTGACCTTCCAGTTGCCAAGCCAAGTCCCTGTGGACTTCGCCACCATGCCTTAACATGTGCATACTTGGTTATTTTTTGAATATGCAAGTCTATTCTCTTCACTTTATCTGCACTATACTTCTGCTGTTGTAATAATGTAAATTTCCCGGGACAAATGAAGGAATTCAGATTACAGCAGGACCCGTTCCAAAGTTTTATGGATCTCAACTTTAATGTTCCAGTCGTTTCCGAGAAACATTATTATGTTGTGGAGTGTTTGTGCTGGTGTTTACCTGCCAGCAGGTGTGCGGGGACTTCCTCTCCAGGATGAACTGAGTGAGAGGCGACGGCTCCAGCTCGTATTTGTCGAACGGCACCTTATCGATCACCATGGGCTCCGAGTCCAGGCAGGAGAAACGGACGTGAGGGTGCGCTGAGCGGGGGGGCTGGAAGATCAAAATGTCAAAGATGCATGGTCAAACCTTCCTTTTTTATTATTTATTTTTATGCTTTGTTTATTCCCTTCACAAGTGTCTTACAGAAAAGAAAACACCACACAACCAGTATCTAACCAAGCTGAAGATCTTGAGCCATAGATTATCCAACTTAATGAAAAAAATGATATCGTCAAACTGATAACATTCCTTTTAATCCATTTTATCTGGGAGGTTTCTTACCAGCGTGGGGGAGTTCTGGTCCGGCCAGAAGGCCTCGGGGATGGGCCAGTGACCGATGGGGACCCCGGTTTTTGGGTTGGGCCGTACGTAGATCAGCTTGTGGCAACAGTGCCAAGGCTGCAGACTGGACTTCGATATTGCCTCCACCGGAGCATCTACACACACAAAATGAATACTTTTTGTTTTCGATATTTACTGAAGAACGATGGGGTCACTCCAATTAAATCCTTTAATTTCCAAGAACGCACTTAATGTTATATGTGTACTCTATGTATCAGAACTACTCAAACACACACACACACACACACACACACACACACACACACACACACACACACACACACACACACACACACACACACACACACACACACACACAGTACGACCACACGACCGACGACAACG